TGTTTAGAAATAAATCAAGTTTACTTCTTTACTCTTTCAAAAAATTATTTTTTCAGGAGTTAAAAGTGTTGAAGTGGACCTGAGCAATCAGGTAGTAAGAGTTCTTGGTTCAGCCTCTGTGAAGACCATGACCGAAGCTTTGGAGCAGACGGGTCGAAAAGCCAGACTAATTGGGCAGGGCGTTCCTGAAGGTTGGTCATTCAAATCTCCATCTTTCTTTCTTTTTGATAAGAATTTCAATTTAATTCCCTTCTTCATGAACTTATAGCTAAAGCATTGAGTTATTGCTTTGTACTTCTTGGGTTAGCATGATTTGTTTGCACGGGAATAACAAGCATTATTTAGTTCATGGTTGATTCTGGTGGTGACAGCATAAACTTAACTGCTCAAGTGTTGTTTGACACTTTTCTTGAACTACAGATTTCTTGGTCTCTGCGGTTGTGGCAGAATTCAAAGGCCCAGATATTTTCGGGGTGGTTCGATTGGCACAGGCGAATATGGAATTGGCTAGGATTGAAGCCAATTTTAGTGGATTGTCCCCAGGGAAACATGGATGGTCTATTAATGAATTTGGTGATCTCACAAGAGGGGCTGCAAGCACTGGGAAAGTGTTTAACCCAACAAGTGAAGAACCTGCCAATGAGGTGTGTTTTCACACATTACTTCTTTCCTTATTTTATGTTCTTGGAAACTTGAATAGTTGAACAAATTGACTTCTCCAATCAATACTTTAAATGGTGCGTACTGTAGAATATTGGTCTAAAAGGTCTGTTAAGCTCTTATGAGGACTGCATATATTAGTCTTCGAGTGCAAGTATTCTTTTTTGTTACAATTGGTCATGATTAACATTCGGATGTAATTAGTCTGATAGAGAATTTGTTTATGCTCTGTTCTCTGTTCTGCAAATCAAGTTAAATACCCTTATTCCTAAGTGGGTGCTTTCTTATTTTCAGCCAGTTGGTGACCTGGGAACATTAGACGCTGATGAGAAAGGTGAGGCCTTTTTCTCAGGAGTCAAACCGAAGCTGAGAGCAGCCGATTTGATTGGACGGTCAATAGTGGTATATGGAACAGAAGACAAATCGGATTCTGGTATCGCAGCTGCAGTAGTTGCTAGAAGTGCCGGTGTTGGTGAAAACTACAAAAAGCTTTGCACCTGTGATGGCACCACCATATGGGAAGCCACCAACAACGACTTCGTCACCGGCAAGGTCTAATATTACCTTATGAAAACACCATATAGTGCACATGCTGGAGTTGAATTTTTATATAGTTTCTGTAGTTTGCAGTCTCTGTGTTTCTCTAAAAATTAGCTACTTATGTGTAATTGTCATACACTATTTAATGTTATAAAGGCTGAACCATGAAATCATGACCTCTTCCTTTGTATGATTTTTGCAATGAATAATGATTACGACAGGAAGGAGATTCGTGGATGTGCATACTTGCGGTGGATAAAGGAAATTTTTATTCATGAGTATCCCCGTTGCATGAATGGTTGTTTGTATCTAGTTTAACCCAAATTCATCTGTAAACTAGCTTTATCAAAGTAGAGAATTTTGAAACAACTTTATTTTTGTTATAAACTTGAGCCAAGCATAAATAAATTTGACCATTCAAATGCTATTTAGTGACTTATGTGTAAGTCAAGTCAATTTTCGTAATAAAATTTCCATCGTTATTAATTATTAAAATTGGTTCAACTTTGAGAATTAAGTTCGATAATTTTTTGATTGTTAAGAATGGTTTTTTTTTTTTTTTTTTTTTATTTCTTAATTTTAAGAAAACGGACATTTCGATAAAACGCAATGAATGTAGCAGACCTGCAGATGGTGGATAAAGTAACGCGATTCTCTTCCATGTTCTGCTCCAACAATTAAACAAGTTATGCTTACACCACATGTTCTAAAGCTAAAAATTACATCGACACATTGCCTATAATCTTATTCTTCAAATTGCCTATAATTTTATTCTTCATGATCTATTTCTCTTCAGGTTTTCTGAGGAGGCAAGAGCCCTTGTCCTTTGGCCATTTCGTATAAAGCAATTGCTGTAAGGACCTTTGCATCGGCTGTCATGCGCCAGAGTTTTTCGTAAGGGACTACACAAACCCTAATCATCTCACCGTCTTCGCGAAGACCTGTTTCTTTCCCTTGCAGCTGCGTTATAATTCCTTTCTCGACCCGTCCTCTGTATAGAAAGAGGCTTATTTCTTCATCACAACCTCCCTGCACATGTAAACAGTAAAAGGATTATTAGAATCATATACAATGAACATTACCGACCAGCTTAACAAGAAAGACTCGGTTATAACTGGAAATGTTAAGTGGTATTTACTTGCTTCATCATCTGAAACTTACACGAGAAATGGAAAAGACAGTCATAAACTGATTTAAAAACAAGATGCTCAAACGTCCACAAACCATTTTCAAGTCCGACTCGCTTGCTTTATCTGGCCTCATTAAATTGACCAAAACTCTACTCAACTACAGGATAAAGGCCAGCTTACTGGCGCTTCTGTAAAACAATGCTTCGGTATATTTAAGTTATTGCTAGAATTGGTAACATTGCCTACAGTTAAAACCTAGAAATTTGGGACACTTCCCCATTAAACAAAAGAGCAAACGACCAACTTACTGGAGAGGGAAAAACTCTGCATCCAGTAGACGGGTCCAGGAAGGCTGTAAGGTCTATCATGTCATCTACATTTAACTTCAAACCAATCTCCTCTTCAACCTGCCATAACCAAGACAAGATTATACACTTGGAGTTCAGCTAAACTTGCTAAAACTTAATAGGTCAAACTGTCAGATAGATAGAGACCTCGCGAACTGCAGTCCCAACAAAATCACCCTTGTCATCGTCCAACATTCCAGCAGGTAATTCCAAAATGAACCTACCAACAGGGACTCTAACCTGGAAAATAACATGAATTTGCACGAGGCTTTTAGACAAGCTAGTTGAACAGAAGTTATTGTTTTTTGTCTTTTAACTAAAGAATCATACTAAATGAGGCCAAACCTGTTCAGTGAGAACAGCATAAGTCTCTCCCTCCGATTCTAAAAGAATTAGTATGGCTACAGCCGGTCCTCGGGCAAATACAATACCTGGAACCTAAACAAAAATAAACATGTTTTAGTCAAAACACAAACAAGAAGATGACTGAAAGGCACCAAGAAGAGTAGTAATGGAAGATTAAGAAACAAAATACGCCAAGCATATCCGAAGATTGATTATTCATGTCAGCATGCTGAAACCAACATTTAAGCATAAATATGAGACTCTTGCTAGGCTCTAGATATTTAACCAAACTGGAAAGTTTAAATTTTGACAAGTAATTATGCCAAATGAGCCTCCTTCTTGAGAACCAGTGAAATTAACTGATGCTATCGATAAATACTGGGCAAATGTAAGAAGGATAATAAACAGACAGAAAGATAAAGAATTGATGTAGATATTATCATATACCTTTTTTCCAGTTTCTTTGTCAAAAATGTCAGCTTTGAATTTGAGAAAACCTATGCGCTTTCCAAACATATCCACTCCCTGTTATTTGAAAGGAAAAAAAAAAAAAAAGTTCACTCTGCGCATCTTTGCAACAAGCAAAAACTACTCCTTTGGGATTGCAAAGAGGAAGAAATTAAACACCGAATTCTAAATTTCATATCCACATGCACTAGTTATTGATTAAGCAAAAAAACGAAAACCCTGACTAGGTTCAAGATTCTTTAACCAAACTGGAAATTTTCAACTAGGCCAAATGAAATTGCAATCACAGGACAACAATAGCAAAAAATTAGGATTTAATGACCTGAATTACAACTCGTTCCAGCGAAAGTTCACCGCCGGAAAAAATCCCGGTCTTACTTTCGGCGTTCTTCAACCACTGCTTGAACAAGGACGAATCAATGGCACTCCTGCAAAATCAAACACCAAGATTTCAACTCTTATTGCTCCATTTTTTTAACGGTAGATCATTAAAGGAAAAAAAAAAAGAGGGATTAACTCGCCGGAATTATGCGTCGGAGATACCAGGGGCGGTGACGACTTGGACGAGCTGGGAAAGTTGATTCGGGAGCGTAATAGAGTGAGTGAGGGTTGGCAAAGGGCTCTGGAGGGAGAGTGGAGAGGAGAGAGATTGTCATATTTTAAAAGTTTTGCGGCGAAGGGCTCTGGAGGGAGAGTGGAGAGGAGAGAGAGAGGGTGAAAAGGAGAAGGTTTTAGAGAGAGAGTGGAGACGGAGTTGCAGTTGCAGACGCATCGGAGGTTGAAGAAGAAGGTGACTCATCTCCGTCATTACACTCGCCTTTTGCACACGTGGTGAGATTTCTTTATATCCAAAACATTTTCGGAAACGACTGAAATCACAATAAAGACGAAACATTTGCGCAATGCAGCTAGAACTTTATTATTTGTGAGTTGGACTTTAGTTATTTGATTTTGACGTATGGAATGGAATTATAAATTGGACAATTTTGAGCATCCAACTTGACAGACAATCAAGAAAAAATTAATTTTGAACAATAATAGTAGTAGATTTTTTAATTAATTGCATTTGTAAAATTAATTTGAAAATTAAAAAGTAAATTTACATAAAAAAAAAATATTATAACAAAAAAAATTAAATTTAAATTATTATAAGAAAAAATACTATAACAACTGCGACCTACGAAAGGAGCTTAATTCTTCGTTTTCACTAATATTTTCTTTTTTTGACAATCGTTTTCACTAATATTTTAGTTTAACCTGTAGGCTTTTTCATGCTTTTAGTTTGTGACATCAGTGTAATATGGTGTCGTTTATATGAATTAATTGTCGTTTTAGCTTTATTTATTGTCGTTTTTAGCATCATCTCATTTATCCTCTATAGGTAATCTTGCCGTCTTCTGAATTACTGCCGTTTTTAGGTCTTTTTTCGTTCTTTATAGATTGTTTCTCTTATATAGAAGTGATTGTCGTTGTTTTCAATCGATGTCGATTTGGACATTGTCGTTTGTATGAGCGTCTGTGTCCTGAGTTTGTCGAGACCTCGCAGTATGTTACTACAACAATATATATAACAAATCGCTCATAATCATGATTTAGCAGAAGATCTGGTCCCACCAACATATATAACAAATTACTCATCATATTATTAAGATTTGCTAAAAGAAATATTTGATTGAAAAACTCGATACATCTATCGGCCGTGTTAAACAACGTAATAGTGGAACATTACTAAAACAAATAAAAAAAACAAAAACAAAAAAATTAACTTAGTAGTGGAAGGGTACAAAAAGAAGCATGTACCTATTCGTGAAGGGACACTCATATTGAAGAGACATGACAAAAAGACACGGTTTCATGTAAATTGGTGAATACGAAACAACGAAATTACTATCATGAACGGGTATGACTAAATTTTATTTCCGGAAAAAAAGGTAAAATAAGAAATATATAAGCAAGATAGTTAAAAGACACACTTATTCATGCGAAGGGATGCTATTCGAATTAAAAGATTCGATGGAAAGATGAAACGTACACATACGAGTATACGAGCATGCATGCACATCTAAAGGTTGCAACCCTTGCGAATGAGTACTTATATCATGAAAGTCTATATAAACAAGTCTAATTAGAACTTGGCATTTTACGTAGCAAATTCTGAACGGTTATATCCAACAAATCAGTCCTCACGCGCACGCTTAAAAAAGATTTCAATCATGAAGAAAAATGGCGACGCCCCTACGAACAAGTCCCCTACCAAAAAGCAAGCACCGACAACCCAGCCCCGACGCGACGAGAGCGAAAATAGTAATGTTGCAGCAATTGGCGGACCGTCATTGATCATCAACAGGCAGTCTGCCCCTACGTCTTCTCCTTTTCTTCCTCTTTCTCTTAGGGCTCAAGGCGCGACTACTGGTGGCGGCGCTCCCGGCATAGGGAGTGGCGTTATTGCTTCAACCGCCGTCGCAGGTGGAGGGATTCAAGTTGAGAGTACTTCTGAAGTACCACCTAGTGGTAGTCGGCCACTGAAGAGGAAGTCCGAGGTTTCCGCACCTGAAGGCGTTGTGCCTACTTGCAGTGTGTGTAGCAAGGTTTTCGCGTCCTGGAAGGCTCTCTTTGGCCACATGCGATCTCATCCCGAACGCCAATGGCGCGGATGTTTTCCCCCTCCAGTTGCCCAACAACAACTCTCACGTGCAGGTGTGTATATATATGCTATATATATAATATACGTGCGTGTATATGTGCTATATATATATATTGTTCTTGGGGTTTGTACTTACGTACGTGATGAATAATATATATTGTGGATGGACAAACATGCAGGTGATCATCAAGCGGCTTTTGCTGAGTCCGGTGGTGGCAATACACAACGAAGAGAAGAATTGGATATTGACTTGAATCGACCCCAAGAGGGAAATTTTGGTGCTCCAACTGATCAAACGAAGAACGATGATGGTGGTTTTGATCTCAACATGCCACCTATGCCGGATGATGATGATGATGCTTCTTAATTAGTTTGTTTGTTATGTGTAGTTACTTACTGTGCTTTTCTTGCTTATTTTTATCTGTAATTCAACTAATATTGTAAGTGACTAGCCATACAAAAAAAAAAAAAAAAAAAAAAAAAAAAAAAAAAACCAACAACCCTGATATATTGCATGCAAGTTTTGACTGTTAACTTTAAAAAAAAAAAAAGTTAATTACAAACTCTATTTTACATGCTTATTTTATTAAAAGAAAAAAGAGAATTAGGATAACAAATAGATAATTAGTAAAGAGTGTGCGTTGAATTACATGCTTAGTTCAAAATCTTAGTTTGAATAATGCCCCTAAAGGAATGCTATTATCTGTTGGGCAATTTATACTGACACCCCTGTGCTTTACTAAAATAACCAGACACCCCCTTGACCAAAAAGAATAACATCAAGACCCCTTCTTCTTAACACTGTTAAAATTGGTTCTGAAATGACAAAAGTACCCTATTTAATTTTAACCATTGATCTAATAATACTCAATCTCAACCTTCCAATATTAGCTTCAGATCAGAGTATAGCAAATCAAAAGGACATCAAAAACCCTAACCATAAATGAGAACCATAAAAGAATATAACTCTATGGAGGGCAGCCACCCCTCTTTAGAAATTCAAAAATTAAAAATTAAAAATTGCATGCTGAGCGATTAGTTAGGAGCGAAGGGCAGGCGATAATCGCGCAGCTGATTTCGTGAATGTCCTAAATTCATAGGACAAACCGCTCGAGTCATGTAAGCGTCCAAACATTCTAAATTCTACAACAAATCTCAAACTGAACTTAATTATGCCCTCGATTGAAGACCCTCATTCTCTTTAAACTCAAAAAACTTTTAACAAGTGTCATGTTCTCCACTAGTAGGTTACGCAATAACTTTTTAAATAGAGGGGACTTTTTGGAATATAGAAACACTTTGCATGGATCCATTTTGTGGTTATTTAGATCTAATTTCATACCATCGTGTTATTAGAAAACCTATATACATGCATTGCAAGTGGATTTATTTATTAGATTTCTGAATAAGTATGAAGCCGAAGATGTTTATGGATGCTACTAGGCAGTATAATTCGTTCTAGTTGAGAGAGTATTTTACTAAAGTAGTATTAAGTTATAGCATATGCTATGTGGTAAGTCGTGTAAGTAGTAAAAATAAAATTGTGAAATTATTCATGTTGTTATCTTGTGGTTTTTGTGCGTTTATTTATTTATTTTTTGTTTGAATGTATTCAGGACAGATGCATCCCGTGACATGTTAAGCATAAATAATTCATTTTGAATTAAATTAGTAGATTATTTATGAAGTGTTATTTTGAGTAACAGAGATAAAGCAAAAGTAAGCTATGGTGACTAAACGGGGGTCGTAAAAGGCAGCGTGTAGAAGAGGATAAAGATCATTTTTCCTCTTCGGCTAGTAAAAAAAATTTATAAGTACGATGCTCTCCACAGAGGTTTGGTAAGATATGTACTCATCTTAGTGATCCTAGAAGGGCGTTGGTTAAAGGAATGGAGTTTGCGGGGTTGTTGGACATAGTTGGCTTGAACATATGCCACAAATTGATTATGTGGATGGTGGACAACTTTAAAGAGGAGGATTGATCATTAACTATTTTCATTCCGTATGAAAATGAGCACTTTTATTTGTTTAAACACTTCAACTTTATTCTCACTTACGTTCCATATTGCTCGTTCAATATTGTCAACGATCCGAAATTCATATGCGTTATTACATATGGTTTGACTGTCACGTTCTTTTCTCTAGCATATTACGATAATCTATTATTCATTTGCTTAGCTTTTGTTAATGTCCAAACACGTGCAGGTAGTTATTCAAGGGAATATCAAGCCAATATCATGCATTATGCTAGGACCTCTTCAAAGGAAGCAATATCATGCATTGTCATGCAGTTATGTACATCATCGGCTTCCAATTGTATACTATGCAATTCATTTTGTATTGTACTAGTTGACCTTTCTATTTCGAGTTTCTTATTTTACCACGTCAAGGTTCAAGAATTGACTTCTTTAATTACTAATTTCTTCCTCCATACCTCCTAAAATTTCTTATTTTGTTGGTCATACGTTTTCACCCTTCTTATTTTCTTGCTCTCATTTGTAATACATGCTTCTTAGAAAATGAAAATCTCATTTGTAATACATGCTTCTTAGAAAATGGAAATATTCTGAAATTCTGATAATCATAAAACATGCATTTTAAAGTTACATTAACATGTTTTTTTGAGTATCAAAACAAACGACAATACATTTAGATTTATTGAACAACAACTTTCTCGCACATTGTACATAACTACTACGTCAATTTTTCACTTATTAATGAATATACATGTTTTGGACTGCCCACATATATTATCGTTTTTGTTCATAGTCTGCTTATTTAATTATACGTTTACATATTTTTTAACTCATGACATTTTACAATTTTGGCCCTTGACCGAATAAGATAGTATTTTCTCACATGTGCTACTCCTGACAGCATCTTTGACACTTAAAAAGAACCTCACAATCAGGTTGTCACTTTCAATGCTAACAACACGTTTCAACGTTTAGTTTATAAATTAAAATTATGTTATTAAAATTATTTTTAATTTACGTATATTTTTTATAAAAAAAATATTATAATAAATTA